GGAGGTGGCAGCGGTGGCAGCGGTGGCAGTGCCGGTGAATGAGACAAAGTCGATTTTGCTCTAAACAAATGGATTCTGTTTTTTCCTGTCAAACTCGAGAAAAGCTTATGTAATGGTAACCCCATCTCTAAGAGAAACAGGGCGGTTGGTGATTTCAATGCCAAGAACGACTCTCTTTTATTCTTCAACATAAGTTCCCTAAACAGTAAACAAAGTGATGATTTTTATTAATATGGATACATATCTATTGGAACTTTCTCTGCAAAGTATGACAATTTACAAGATTTGAGTAGTTTCTTAGCTTAAGAAAGCTTTGAGCATTGAAAAATCGTCACGAAGAAGACGGCATTACTTACATACAACTTACTTAATTCAAAAAAAAAAACTACTGGTCTTGATCAGTTATTTTATGCTTGTACAACTTTACCGTTCAGTTTTCCTTTTTTCTTGTTCTGTAGGTATCGTGTCTTGATCCGCCCTATCACCCCTCAGACTCCCAATGTTCAGCACGCCTTGAAAGGCAACCTTACTGTTTTTGGGAAACAGAGCAGAACTTGAACGATTTTGTGACTGCGATTGATTTGATACAAACGCATGTTTAAAAATATTTGAAGTAACTTCTTTCTGGCCATTCTTCTTAAATGAATTAGGTGGAATGGGTAAAAGGTGTACTAATGCCAAATTCTTCTTCGGTCTATTTGAAAATGAAGAAGGTAACACAGCTTCTGCAGTCCCGACCTTAAAGCAGCCTGACAATATTAGTCAAGAAATGACCGCTATTTCCAGCGGCAAATAAGAATCCAAAAACGAAAAATTTCTAATGAGCTACAGTAACCTTAGTAACTCGTAAGTATATCATAAAAATTAAAACAAAGATGTTTTTAAAACATTCGACAAGAAAATTGAAGAAAAACTACATATTGAATTTGTACCTTGTAGCAGAAGTTTTCAAAAAAGATATAACCGGGTTCACATGACAGCTCCAAAACTAAAAGCGTTCTTTTACCAAAACCGATTTATAGAAAAAAACTTGCTGCATAACTGTGGTCTAATTACATTATCCATACACTATTTTCATTTATTTGCGTTCACTTTTCGTCAACTTTAAAAAAAGCAAATCTTTTTGAACTCTAACGCTTCCGTTTTTCTAATAAAATATGTCAGCAAACAATTTTTTTTTATGAGACCGGTAATTTTTATTCATATTTGCAGCCTTCGTCAGCCACGTTTTTTTTGCTAAGTCCTCAGTTTTGTAACATATACCTTCAGCGTCGTACTTGCAAACCACAAGATTTTTCCGTTCACAACTAACATCCGACCAACGTCCGAGCTGACGTCTACCATTGATCTGAGCACACTTAACGTTTGGACCACAACAGCCATCAGGCTCATAGCTAGTCCATGCTCTATACTTTGCAGGTGAATTGTCTGACCACACCCAAGATTGGTTTTTTTTCTTCAGGCCAATCCAAGCAGACTTATTCCCAGAAAATTCTAAAAGTTTCGCCTGTCTGTTCAGTCAGATAGTTTTCTGACGCAAAATGATACCATCTATAACTAAAATAAAAAAACATTTCTTAAAATTAATTGTCAAACTTCGTTTTCAGTGACGCAAAAGCTTAATAAATATCTGGAAATTGACCGACGGAATAAGCAGTAACATAATTCTTAAGAACCGTTGAAAATAAAACGCTAGCAAAATTAAATTTACTACGAACGTTTAATAAAACTATTCTGTTCTTTGCTTTTTATTGTTGGTAAGAACGCATCCATATCTGCACAAAATATCTCGGCTTGGTCAAATGACATTTCATCTTTTGCCTAAAAGGGAATTTCAAGAAGCAGAAGTTTAATATTTGTTTTCAAAACGATCTTAAAATACTTCATTTGTTTAGTTGCGATATTGTCTGTCAAGCTTTCTTTAACCGTCTTTAAAGATCAAAAAGTTGAGAACTTATGTGAAAAAGTCAATGTTTTTTTACGTCTCTAATATTGTTTTTTATAAAAAAAATCCTAATTTTAGCAAATAAATTTAACTCCAGCTTAATCTGTCAATGCTGAAAAGGTTTTTTTTTTGTAAAACTTTGATATAAAAACGGCTCTTCACTTAAACGATGCCATCACTAACTGCCACTGACGACAATCATATATGAGCGGTTGGTTAAGCTTAAACTAATTATAACTGAATTTTCATATCTGCTACTGAAAAGTAGACAGCTATTAGAAACACGGTTATTATTTGTAGTCAAATAATTTATCAGACAAAATCAATTTCTTGCCTATTTAGAAATGTTAAAAAAGATATAAAAAACTGAAAAATTTTTCATACTTCTCTTTTTGAGACTACCCAAAGTTCAATAAAAAGTAAAGTATTATTTATATATATAACTTTCACTCAAAGACGAACAAAAATTATTAGTTTACTTTATCTCTAGCTTCTTTTTTTCGTTGTATGATGATTTAATTTAAGTACAATGTCATAAACTTTTGACAATTTGCCGCATTATACAGTAAAGCAGTTTCAAGCAGAAGAACCTTTAATTTAAAAGGTCAGGCATAAGCGTGAAATGAGAGAAAAGAAAGTTAGTCTTTGATGACGCTTTATTTGCAACCACCAGCATTCAAAGACATATTTATATATTAGCGCATTACCCTCCAGTTAAACTTAACACCAATTAAACCTGTTTTAAAGGTAACGATAACAGAAAGGTGGAAAGCAGAAGCAGAAAACGATTAGCCATTAAAATATAGAGAAAAACAAACCTTGTAATAACATCCATCTTCGAATACAGTAAATGGCTTTTCGCATCGCAGCAACCTCCGAGGGGCGGTGGGCCCGCCCGCTTTTTTTGACACTTTTAGTGGTACTGAAAGGTGTCATTAGACGGCGCTAAGTCTCATACTGACAAAGAATTTTCAAAATATTCTGCTAAATTTAGCTCCCTATCAAAGTTATATTAAAGTTTTCAATATATTTTAATCACAAAAGGAATAAAACCCATTTACTATTCTGACCGTAGAATATAGTTTTTTTTATTCTGAACTGATAATTACAGTGACAGGACATCACTGTGGAATTTTTCTTCTCCTAGTTAGACATCAATCTTCTTGTGTTAATCAGGGATACTTACCGATCGTAATCACATTAACAACTGTCGCCAACAAAATCAAGCACACGGCTGCAGTTTTCATTCGTTTTCTACCAACCTTACAGGCAATATTACTTGATTCTTAAGACCTCGCCCTGTCTTTACTTTCTACTTCTCCTGATTAGACAATAGAAGGAAAAGCAAGAGAAAATGTTCACACCCATATCCCTTTTTGTTTCAAATTTTTTAGCTCTCAAGCAAAAAAAACATTCAGCACAATTCTTTTCGAAAACACAACGTCATATTACTTTTTGTAACACACTAGTTTATCTCGGCAAAATAACGTTTGTTGAATTCGTAAAGCAAAGTAGATTTTTTGCTTGAACGTCTAAAAATGTTTCTTAACACCAACTGTTGGTGTGTTGGTACAAGAAAATACTGCCCTGCTCTGCATTCTGGTTAAACGATGTAGCTACACCGAAAAATAACTTTTTATTTCTGTTTCTCACCACTTTTTAAAACCGTTTTCTCTTTAATGTTCTAATTAACAACCATTTGAACATCTATCAGTATCTTTCCCTTTTAATAGAAATACCTTTCTTAGAAATGTTTGCAAGAACTGCCTGGTGATTTGCAAACTTGCTTGTGACTCCTCCCTGAACAATAATCCCTTTAAAACATCAGTAAACAAAAGTGTAAGATAAAAAAGCACACTATTTACAAGTGCCTTAACTGGCCGATACCTATACCCATGCTGTTTCATTGTCTAAATTTTTCAAATTAAACACCATTCACTTTTATTTACATCAGTGCCAAAGTAATACTAAAGTTTCAAAAGCGAAAAATGCTTCATAGTGTTGTGCACAGCATTGGTACCTAAAAAACGTCTTTAGCCTGACACGTTTTTTTTATGCTGATTTGTAGATACAGCCAATAGGGAAAATTAGTAAAAGTTTGTGCTATCTTAATCACAGCAATTTCTCCTTCTTTTTAAATTAACCCCAAAGAAAACTGTTTGTAGAAATAGTCGATCGCGGTCAGAACAATTTAATCAAAACTTACGGCTTTAACGAACCGTGATAACGGTAATGGAATGCCATTGAGGTAGGTGGAACAAAGTCCAATCATTATAAATCTGTCCAGATTAAAAAAACGATCATTAACTCGTCGATAAAAGCTATATCAGCGCGTCCATTTAGATAGATTTTTTTGCTTTTCGAAGCATCATCTAGCCAAAACGTATTTGTGGACAATGACTGTTTTAAACCACTAATGATATTATGAAAGGTATGATATAGCAAAATGATGTTTAAACAGTATCACTGCCATTTTTTCTTTCTTGTTTCTTTCTTTTTTCTTATTCCCTCCTCCCTCCCTCTCTTCTTTTTTCTGTTATCGCTGCAACCATAGAAACCAAACCTTCTTTGGTTTGACAACAGCACTGGTTTATCCTGTTTTTATCTTAACAGTTTTTCTTTCCGCTATAAACTTGGATCCACCACCTTTAACATACGACTGATGAAAGAAGTTTACGAATAAAAGCAGATATGAAACTTCCATCATCAAACATGAAAAGTACGAAAAAGTAGCAAAAGTGACGTCATATCCAATAAGTTTCATAATTCCGATGTGAAGTATAATTAACAACATGGTTACAAACTGCATAATCTGTAATAAAGTGATACATCGGGCAACCATAACTGGAATGCGAAAGTGCAGCGAATGCAGAGTATAGTAGCTGAAATAAATTGCCATCAAACTGCATAAGGATTCATCGGGGAAGAATGAAATGACTGATTTTTAGACAAAAAACAAGCCTTGTCTTATTAAAAATCAACCTATTTTAAAAAACCAGAAAACAAGTGTAAAAGTTTCTTTATTCAAAGAGATATAAAGAAAATTTGCAATTAATTACCCGTACATAACAGCATGAACACCATAGTTTAACCAGGCAATGTACATGTTGAAAGGCTGGCCTTCTGTATATGCCCATATTGCATAGTTGAAGGTTAGCACGTGATGATACCAGTGTAAAAAAATCAAAGGCTTCTTACGAAAAACAAGAAAGAACGTGTCTCCAAGTTCGATGGTTTTTGAAACCATAAGCATGAAAGCCCAATAGCCAGAGCGACCATAGAAGAATTTGTTAGGCTGAGCATAAGAACCTAAAAGAAATATTACACTGATAAAGGAAATTCAGTCAAAGAAGAATCATGACTAGAATAGTAGTGATGCAGTCAATAAATCACTTTCACAAGTAACAGCTCCTACCAATAATGCCTTTCTGTCGAATTTCAGAGATCATCCTTTCTGAAGTCACATAAAATCCACAAACACTAAACACTGCCAAATAACCATTCCATAAAGCCATTGGAACTTTCAGCTAAAGCAAAAAAAGCATAAATTATCTGACATATTTATTACAGTCTAGAGGTTTCTAATATCTAAAATTGAAAAAAATAAATTCTTATTTTTCAGTTCATTCTATTATCACTTTTATAATGTATTAATTAATTAACAGCCTGAACATTTTTTACTTACTTCTTTTCGTTTTTAATTTATCTCTTCACTTTTCAGTCTTTTGATTACAAAAAACATTAACTTGTTGAACCAGTTCCTTCCTTTTTTTTTCTTCCTTTTTCGTTTCTTATTTAAGTTGTTCAAATACTTCTAATAACCATTCTTAAAGCTACCGTTGCTTTAGTATTTACATCATAATAAAACAATGAAAGTGCTATTTCTATATCATAAACAAATATTTGCTTTAGTGATTACCAATAAAATTTACAACTGATTTTACGGTGCTTTTTTGATATAAGGTGTTTAAAGTGGTAAAACAGTAATTTACTCTCTAAGTAGCAGTTATTCTTGTTTTTGTTCAAGTGTAAACGTAGAAGATTTAGTCTAAAAGTTGCAGCTAATTTATAACCACAAAAGTTGTTAGGTTACGCAGCATTGATATTAAGTGGTGGTGATTCAGTAGAAATAACAGATTAAAGAATTTTGAAAAATCAGTTCCGTTTTATTTCACAATGCTCTTCTGAAGTAATTGATCTAATTCATTACTAAATCCAATTCCGGTTGAAAAATTTATTAGTGGACCTTCAATTTCTCATGCAACAAGAATCGGCTTCTAGCTGCTTTTGCGAATTCTCATTTCTATTGCTATCACTGCCCTAAACATTTCAAAAAATTCCTAGCATTAAAAAATAAATATATGCTAAAAGTACACCGATATTTGTCTCCAAGTAAAATAGCAAAAAAACTGTTTGTTTTAACATTAAGAAACATTTGTAAATAGATTTTTTAAAGCGACCATCTTATTTTGCTGTAATTAAAAGAGACCTGAATTTTTCAAAAAGAAAACCTAAAACCTTTTTAGCTAGCCATCAAAACACTTAAAAAATAAAACCTAAAATTTTGAACTGTCAGTTTCAAAGCCGTAACGAAAGCAGTCGAAGTAAAAGAAAGGTTCATTTGTTGAAAAAGTCCAAAAATTAAGTGACTTTTGACTCGCTACACTTTCTTCCTCATTCCTACACTTTCAGAATTCTCTCCTGCCAAACATGGATTAAGTTCATTTATTATTTCTCATAAAAAATTGTGCAGCGCTTTTGTCACTTTACTGCTTTACTCTGCAGTGATGAAAAAAAAAGCTGGTTTGAATGGTTTGGCTAAAATTACAACTGGGTTGATTTTACTTTCTAAAAAGCTACTATCAGTTTTACCTAAACAATCCCTTAAAATCCCATCAGTTTTACTTTTGTTAAAACCAACTAGCCCATTCTAGCAACACTTCCCCAAGTTATATCCTACAACTAAAAAAAAGCATCATACATTCTTTCAGTTAGTAATCCTCCTTACTCACTAAACAGAACAGTTGCTTTAAAAAACTTGGTCGAAAAATTTTTTTTTCAAGTCGAAACCAGTCAGTCAAAAATCTATCATCATTTTTCACTCAATAAAAAAGCGTAACGAATCACATTGACAAAGTACCAATCGTATTTTCCCTTCTTTTAACAGTAATTACGTGCATCTGTCAAAAATTAAATTTTTGGCTTTGTTTTAGACGCTTTTATATTTGTCATCCAAAACTACAAATCAGCGACTATTGATAATTGTTTAGAATAAAGAAACAAAATAAATTCAGCTTCCAAAAATGCAAAATTTTTACATTTTCACTTAGACTTTTTTTTTCCTAAAAGACAAATTGCTAGTTACCACAAAAATTTGAACTAAAAAAATTTTGACTGCATAAAATTAGTTTTTTATAACGCATAAACGATGCCTCATAATAAACAAATAACTTAAATCATAAAGCAGCAAATTTTTGTTGATTAACTTATTGTTTCGAACTTTACACTAAATATGTAAATAAAAGAAAAAAAAGTTTAATTCTTGCAGTAAATAAACATCACCAACAAATCTTCGGTTTCAAATCGCTGTCTTTCTTACCTACGTCAACCTAACATATGACGCATGAAAAGTTAGTTACTAAAAATTATAAAAGTGTTTTGTTACATCACAACAGATCCAAACCCATCCAAGACCAAATTCCGTTTCTACCTCAATTTTTTCTCGAAATCACAGTGACTCGTAACTGGCTGATTTTATGATGCATAAACTTTCTTTAAATATACAACAAAAACTAGCTTTTAAAGAGAATATCGAACCTCGAATGATTTATAATTGGTCATAGCAGCTCGTATTGAGAATATTGCTATAATATACACAGCAGTGACATAAAACGTATAGTTCTGAATTTTGTTAGCCACATATGCCCTCGCTACTTCGAAATCAAACTCCTCAGCAAATGCTATTTGTAGAAATCCCTCCAGCATTGCTTCAGTAGTAACCGATCAGGA